TAAGGTGGTAAGGCGAAATGAAAGAGGGAAGTATCAAAATGTGTGTAAATTAGAATTATTAATTTTTAAATTTTTATATTTTAGAATCGGTTGGAAAATTGTAGAATTAGCGATTAGTGACTATAGCGGTAAGTCGCTTTAATTTAATTTTTTCATTTATTTATTTTTTTAATTTATTATTTATTTATTTTTTAATATTAATTAGCAATTTTGTTTGTAATAGAAGGTTAGGATTTAATTTTTTATTAAATTTAATTAATATCATTTTAATTTTTTTTTTGTAGCTTAGATAAATTACTAACAGTTATGGTAAGTAATTTATTATTTATTTGTTAATTTCTTTTGTTTTATTTATTTATTTATTATTTTTTTAAATTATATTATTTTAGGATAGTGACAACAAATTTCTTAGCGATTATTGAATTCATTGGTAAGTTGTTCTAATTTCTTTATGAGTATGTTTATTTTAGTATCAATAATTGGAGTGGGTTTTGGTAAAGCAAGAGTAGAAGTAGAGGGGTTACACTTGTATTTATTGGAGCTTTTCCAGTGATGAAATTATAACGAATTTTGATATTTCTAGCAGTTTTTACTGTGGCAGCCAAGTCATTGGAAATTTGTGTATACACCATTAGGGTATATGCTAGATTTAGTCTTATAAGAAACATTCATTTTTGTTGGGCATTATCAGTCAAGTCTACTTTTTTTACTAACTTGCAGAACTTATTAGCATAAGAATCTACTGATTTATCAAATGTTGTTATAGGGAAGTTAACTCCTGATACCATTAATTTTTCCTAGTTTCATTAATAAATCAGGTATTAAACATGTCTACAAAATTGTCTTCACCATTTGTAGTTGTAACCCAATTATCTACTATAGTTCCTGTATTTTTTTTAAACCAATCAGCTGTGGCTATTTTTAAGTATCCTCTAGCAATGACTTTCTTTCTTGTAGCATCAATCCATCAGTTAATAGTGGTAACTTTTTCAAAAATGGTAAGCCATTTTACAGAATCTTCAGCTTTAGTACCATAAAAATAAGCAAGTTTTGCTGTAGTTTATTCAGTTTGTCCTAATGTATTTAATCAAGCTCCATCTATTCCAAAGATTCTTTCGAAAGCTTGTCTTATTTGTTTACCTGTAACTGCTGTTATTACTTCTGATGGTAGGATAGTAATTGGAATTATTGATAAGCTAGTTGCAGAGGTATTAGAGAAGTAATTAGTTGTTAAAGTAATTTTCAGTTTTTCTGAATCTGTATTAAATCTTAATTAAGGATTTCTATGTATGCTTTTAATGAAATAGATTGATCAACAGGTTGTTAGAAACAATTTGTTTCAAAAGAAACAACTTAGACGTACATCTGATAAAAAAGGTATAGTCTTATATTAGAGACTAGAAAGCAACTGATAAATTATTCTGATTAATCAGCTATTACGATGTTCTGATACTAAGGTATTACTTAATTGCTCAAAGAAGTTGAAAACAACAACTAATCTTGCTATATAAGTTTTAGCTTAATATTTGTAATGAAACCAATTCCAAAAATTTTGAAAATTATTTGAAAGTATATTAAATGGAGGGTGAATAACATCAACTGCAAGTATAGACTTCATTGAGAGGTGGAATTCAAATAATATCTCATAATATGTTTTAATGCATTTCTCTTAATTGCTTCAAAATTTATACATTTTGCTATTTCGTCAGCAGTTCATTATGTATAAAATTATCTCTATTTCTCAATTCTCTTAACTCAAACTTTTATACATCTCGCTAAATTTGTTAGCAGTCCATTATGTATAAAGTCAATAATATCCTGGCAGAAATCACCACTTGTTAATGTTATTTTTTCTATTGAATAAGTTAACTATGATTTGAAATTAGGGAGACAATAACTGTGACTTAAATTTAATCAACTTAACATGCTATTTGTTAGAGAGTTTATTTAGTTAATAAGAATAAAATTATAAGTTTTATGTTTGCAAAATGTTAAGATTGTTTATTATTATTATTAAATATATATTGAATATAATATTAGGATCTGTTCTTTTTCCAAGGCATTTTCATGCCCTTTATGTAGGAAAATTATAATTAAAGAAAATCTATGGTATTTATGATACTATTGACAATAATAACAGAGCTAACTAATATGCTAATTTTGTTAAATATGAAATAAATAATAATAATGATAAATATAATAAAAATATAATAAATGATATATGTGTTCTATTTGGCAGATATAGCATATTTGGCATATATATCATATTTGACAGATCTATCAGTTTCTGCCAGTTTCATTACTTATTAAATTCATATAAATTATAAGTAAATAATAAATTAATAAATAAATCACTATTTAACTCTTATTAAATATTAATATTACTTTTTTGTATCATAGCTCTGTTTGTCTTTTAATTTCACTTTTATCTCTTCTGATATAAGGTACACCATATCTATAATGAATTTCTACTATCTTAAAAATTCTTTCATTCAAATTTCTATCCCTAAATTATAATTAAAAAATTTAAAAATTGAAAATTTAAAAAATAAATTTAAACTTAAAAATAAAAAATTACTGGTATGGTTGCTATTAGAAGTTTTAATATTTTTTCTTTTTGATTAGCTTAAGCATGTGCTGCTTTAGCAATATTTGTATTATTTGCATGATACTCCAAAATTTCATTTTTTATATTTGAAATATGTCTATTTAATGATGCTAAAATATAAAGTTATTAATAATATTTGACCTAATCTATCAAATTAATAATAAAACTTATTATTAAATTTTAAAATTAAAATAAATCTAAAAAATAAATAATTACCTGTTATATGCTTATCATTATAAGTTTCTAATTTTTTAAGATAATTATAAACTTCTTTAGTATTTAAAATATATGGAATTGATGATGCTAACTGATGAACCATATGATCAAATTTTCTAGCCATTAAATTACTAAAAGTAGAAATGCAATATTAATAATAAATTTGATAAATTTAATAAATTAAAATTTTTAAATTTACTAATAATACTATATGAAGTCAATCTTACTGCATCATAAAGATTGATGAATGATCAACATTATTAATGCTATTAGCATTTTTAATTTAGTTAACATTTTTATTTTATTTATTTTATTCTTATATTTTATTATTATTATTTATTATATTATTATTATTATTGAATTATAATTTATCTTTTATATTTATCTTAGTATTATAAAATAACTTAGCGTTAAATAGTAATTTCTTATAATTTTGTATAAATAGAATAGAAGTTTGTCCTTGCAAAGGGTAGAAATAATAGTGTAAACTCAATAGTTTAAGTTTAAGACTTAGAATCTAAGGTTAAGGATTGCTAAGGATATAAATCTTTACAATAAAGGAATCTCTTTCTAAAACTACACATATTAAAATCCTTCAATATATTAATAGTGTTTATTGTGTTTACAAATTATTAAAGTTAATTTACTCGTCTAAAGTATAAACCTAAAGTTAATTGTGATAGAACTTATTTCACAGTAACTTAGTAGTTTCTCACATGTTACTTCCTATTATAAGTCATCATTATTCTAAGTTTGATGGGCTGGATAAAGGTTAATACTGAGTAAAATAAACTAAATATGATTTAAAAATATATGTTAAATGTGATTCTCAATCTTTACTAGGATTTCTTTTCATTAAGGCTAAACCTAATTTTTTTGTTTGTCTTGTATCAAGATCTGCAAGAATACATTCCTAATCTGATCCATCAATATGATAAAATTTCACAAGTATTCTATTTAAACTTTTTACTACTTCAAAAAGTTGGATAAATAATCATTAATATGCATTAACTGTAAAAATATTAGTATAAACACGACAATAAAAATGAACTAATAAAAGTTAATTTTTTATAAAAAAAATAATTGTAACATTTAAAATTAAAAATATTTACTCAAATTATGTGTATTGTCATAAGTATTCACTTCAAATTCATTAATATCATCATATACTCTTTTAAAAGTTAAATCAATTTGAAAACATTTTAATTTCTACAATTCTTTTGCTTAAAAATCAAGTATACATATTGTTAATATTTGACTATCTTCAATTTATTCTAATTAAAATTAAAATTAAATAATTAATTATTATTATTATGCAAAAATTTTATTAAATATAAAGGTAAATACTTACTAATATGATGCACATAATTATGCATATCAAATTTTTTACATTAAACACTATATAATACTCCTAAATTTCCTTAACCATAAGACTACATATTCTTATAATATTTTGTAACTAGTTAATATTATTTAAAGATGCATGTATCTCTGTTAATGCATCTTTATTAAAAGTTGCTTTAATACTATTTCCTATAAAATAAATATAATAAATTAATTATATAGTTGTAATTTATATTAATTAATATATTTAAAACTTATCTGTTATAATTAAATGTGACATTATACTATCATCTAAAGTAATAATATTTTGAATCATAGATTATAATTCATCTTTAACACCTAATGGTGTTCATTCAGGTAGTGGTGATAGGTGATTATACATGCTTATGTATACTAATGCAATATAAAAATATTCAATCAAATCATATGGAATAAATTTTATAAATTAAATATTGCATTTTTGTTGAATTATAGTTCTATATATGACTTTTCTATTATGAGTATGTAAATAATCTTAATAATTAAAAATTTAAATAAATTTGTTAAAATATTTATAATATATAATAATTATATTAAATAATTGATAAATTATATTTATCACATAATTTTGCTTTTGAAGAGCGTGAAATTAAAGTATAACATTGATTTTTGTCATTATTATTCTTATTAATCTAAATTTAAATCAATATTAATATTTTATAAATTATAAATTAATATAAATAATATAAAATATATAAAATAATACATTTTATTCTTGAAAAATATTTCACAATAATTCTAAATCAATCTCCTTTAGAATATTAATATAATGATAAAACCTTTCTTCTTTAATCTATTTATCACATCCAATAAAATATTCTTCATCTTCACCTCCATTTCTAATAATTCTTCTTAATTTTGCTTTACCATCATAAGATCTATTATTATTTTTATATTTATAAGCCATTGATTGAGCTGCAAGAAAGAATCTAAATTTATTAAAAAGATAGTTAATTATTAAATATAAATTATTTAAATAAGAAATAATGATAAACTTACATATAAGTTTTAGTTTTTATATTATTTTTTTGTTAATTAAATTTAATAAAAATTTCAGATTCTAAATCAACTTTATTATGTTATTTTTTAATAAAATCTGAATCAGCAAAAAATAATACTTAATTCCTAAGCAATTTCATGTATTTTTTTTTACTGGTACTCTAAAAGGACAATCTAGAATATGATTAGATCCTTCTGATCTGTTAATAGAATATTAAATCTAATAAAAATAAATAAAATTATAATAAAAATAATTAATCTTAAATTCTTAATAATTAATAAAAAATACTTATATTGTTAAAGTAAACTATCAGATTCAGCTAGCTAAAAATATTAAAAATAGTAGCTATTCTATTAAGTGAAGTTTATGAATACTCAATGGGAAAAGCTGAATAAATAATTTCTAAAACAGAGAGATATTTTGTAAAAAAGGCTACTAGTTTTTCTTTTTCATTAATATTCTAATAAAATTAAAAATGGGTTTCAAAAATTTGACTTTAAAAGTTATTCTTTAACTATAAAAGGATAGCAACAAAACTTGTTCATTAAAGAAATCATTATCTAATATAGTTTCTTCATCAGATATGGCTTCGATATCTGAAATATCTGACAGAATAACTGGATTAATAATATACATAATAATTAATATAAGAACGCAAAAGTAGGTTTACTTAAATAGCAACAGAAATCTAATACTAATATTAATTTAATACAAATATTAATCATGGATCATGATTTATAAATTTAAAATTAATTTTAATAAAATTTTATTATTACAAAAATTTTCATTTGTCTAAAAGCTAAATTGTATCATTTAAAACTGAAAATTTCTTTCAAATATAAAGGATTATTATTAGTATTTCGCAAAATCAGATCAGATCAGATTTGAATAAATCTGATCTAATCTGATTTACATTTTTTAGGATCTGAATCTGATCTGAATCTGATGGATTCGTTGAAATTCAAATCTGATCTGAATCTATCAGATCGAATCTCAAATCCAGATCTAATAAATCAGTTAAATCCAAATCTGATCTGATCTGAATCTGAAATTTTTATTGAAAAATGATTTTTAATATCTGATCCCTTATTGCAAAATTGCTTAAATAAATTCTATAAAAAACAATTAATATTAAAGAAAAATAAATAAATAAATAAAAAAGAAAAATTAATACACTTAC